AAAACATCATATTTCTCCCTTTTCCAATTCTTCCCCCCAGAGATTTTTCTCTGGTGTAATTTTGTTTTGTTTTTTATCAAGATTTCAGTCAGCTTAATTAGCATATAGCAAATTAAGTTCCTCTTTCATTGTTAATAAAGAAATGAGAGAATAATTAATGTTTCAATGATGGCAAGAACTTTCTCCTCACATTTTATGAATTTTATGTAGGCTAATGTCTATTCATGACACATTTAATAAAATAATGACAGAAGGGAAATTAATATGTTTAATTAAAATCCTATGTCAGAAGTTTCTTTCTATAATTTAATATTACAGTGTTATGCTGCTATCCAAGGTATTAATATTTATTATACTCTTCTAGACCATGAGATTCTGATGTAGCAAGATTTTTTAAAATACTGAAACAACTTAAACCTATTAGCTAAGATATCATTGATAAAATGGCAGAAATAATTTGAGACTGGGAGATAAGACTCCTGTGTTTCAGTTTTGTGCTGGCACCATCAGAATAACTGTAGATAAGTCCCTCTCCCTTATCTCACACATACAACTATTCATCAAGCCCCATCAATTTTGAATCTCTCCTCATTTTGTTTTTCTTTTCTTTCCCACTGCTATTGTTATTTTAACCCTCTTGCCTGGACTTGTGCAGTAGCATACTAACTGATCTTTCCTGCCTCCAGTTCAAATACATCTTATACAAACCTGATAAAAACATCTATTTAGAACAAAAAGTTTATTTCCTCTCTAACCTACCCAAATATCTTTACCATACAGGAGACATGGATTAAATTCTTTAGCTAAGACCCTTATCAGTCTGGTGCCAACTTACCTTATTGTCTATTCAAGGAGCCCACCATAGTCATTTTACTACAGTCATGCTGAATTTTCTTTCCGATTTCTAATAACCTATCTTGTTGATGTCTTATTATCTTTTCACAAGCATACTCTAAACTTAGAACACCCCTTCTCCCACATGCCAATTGGAAAAATTCTTTCACTTTCAGACACAACTCAAATATGATCCTCTCTGAAATCTCCCCTTCTTTCCCAGACACAATTAGCAACTAATTCCTCTCCATTCAATAGCATTTCACCTGTGTGGTGTGTGTGTGTGTGTGTTATTTTTATTATACCCTTTAATCACTCTCCTTGAGGGTAATAGCTAGGCACCAGTATAGAGTAGGTATAAACAACAGCTTATTGAATGAACAAATGGTTGAATGGCAACTTCACAAAGTCTCAATTTTTTAATCTATTGATTTGGAAGAGTTATAAATGATTTTAAATATACTTTCCACCTCTCATATCTATAGTAAAATCTCATATCTATAGTAGTTAGACACATCAATTTAAATCAGATGTGATACTAATTTTACAATGAAAAGACCTGCTCCTCTCTCAATGTTATGAGAATATTTTAGAGTGTAGCAGAGAATCACTACATTTTTATAGGTAAAAGTACCTGGCAATAGTAATAGTGATAATAGATCTGATCTCACAAAAAATGTTTTGAGAATTGAACAAAACACTTCATGTAAAGTGGTTAACATAATCTGTGGATACACTTAAGCTCTCAGTCAATATCAACTTTGTTATTAAAAAAAATACCTGGCAGCTTTTTTGTGAATTCAACGAGAATCTGTACATGATTGGTAGCCATTTCAGTTAAAATGAGAAAATTTTCTTCTGCACTGAATTCTTCTTTTAACTAAATTTAAGAAGAAAGTAAATGATTAGTAAGTAGAAAAAAGAAATGATAAATCAATATAAAATCATTAGACTAAAGAAAAACTAGATTTAGAAAATAAGATTTAAAGACCCAGCTAATGTTTTCAGATCTTCGAAGAGAAGTTACCGTTACCAGATAGATGTGAGACTGCTTACTCTTTAATTTTTAATGTTGATAGAGGTTTAAATGTATAACTTAAATTCTCATCTCTAATCATTTCAGAGTGACATATTCATATATAAATTCCACCTTCAAAGTAATAAAAGCTCAAGAAAATACTAACTTCAAACCCATGTATTTTCAGATATAATACATACAATTTTGTTTTTATTTCCTGAGGCATCCTCTGTTTGCTATATGAATCCATAATATAATGTAGAAGATTCTGTTGATCTGGGGTGAGTTCAGTTTTCTCCTACACTGGCAAGAAAATAAAAGGTGTTAGGGAGGGTGGTTATGAGGCATTCTTTCTACATGTGCATTTATTTGGAGTGAACTAATAATAGAAATCACCGGAAAAGCCCTAAATAAGCAGAAACTATGAACTCTAATATAGTTTATAACTCTTTCTTTGTCCCCTTGGGAAAGTCATATCACATTTCACTAAATTTTTCCAAGTTGCTCATTTTCTATCCATAAAATAATGGTAACAAATATTCCTCTCATGTATTTCTTAGGAATAAATAATAGTCTGGATATAAAGCATATTGAGCCCATTCATATGGAAAGTCAGTGAACATTCAAGGTTTAATCATAACTAATAAAATGTTCCAGCATAGTGTGTACACTATGAATACTATATTCATGTAGATTTAATATTCCACATGAATACTCTTAGAATATGACCCATGGACCAAATCCATCTGGTTTTGTGAATAAAGTTTTATTGGAACACAGCCACATTCCTTTGTTTATGTATTATCTGTGCTACTTTTGCACTAAGACAGCAGAGTTGAATAGTTGGACTACAAAATACTGATGAAAGAAATTGTAGATGACACAAATGGAAAACATCTGATGGCTGTGGATTGGAAGAATTAATATTATTAAAATGACTATACTTACCAAAGCAATCTACAGGTTTAATGCAATCCCTGTCAAAATACCAACATCATTCTTTGAAAAATTATGAAAAAAAATTCTAATTCATATGGAACCAAAAAAGAGCCCAAATCGCAAACACAATCTTGAGCAAATAGAACGAACCTACAGGCATCACGTTGCCTGGCTTCAAATTATACTACAAGGCTATAGTAAACAAGCAGCATGAAACTGGTATAAAAGTAGATACATAGATCAATGGTACAGAATAGAGAACCCAGAAATAAAGCCACATACTTATAGCCAACTTATCTTTGCAGTTGACAAAGTTGACAATAACATACACTGGAGAAAGGACACCCCTTTCAATAAACACCTAGAAAAATTGAATTGGCATATGCAAAAAATAAACTGGACCCTTATCTCCCACCATATACAAAAATCATCTCAAGATGAATTAAAGACTTGCATGTAAGACCTGAACCTATAAAAATACTAGAAGAAAACCTAGGGAAAACTCTTTTAGACATTGGTCTAGGCAAAGAATTCATGACTAAGACCTCAAAAGCACAGCAACAAAACAAAAATAGACAAATGGGATTTAATCAAACTAAAAAGCTTCTGCACAGCAAAAGAAATAATCAACAGAGTGAATAGACAACCTAAGGAATAGGAGAAAATATTTGTAAACTATACATCTGACAGAGGACTAATATCCAGAATATGCAAAAACTTAAACAACTCAACAACAACAAAACAACCCAAATAACTCCTTAAAAAGTGGGCTAAGGACATGAATAGACATTTTTCAAAGGAAGACAAACAAATAGTCAACAGACATATGAAAAAATGTCAACATCACTAATTATTAGAGAAATGCAAATTAGAATTATAATGATATAGCATCTTACACCAATCAGAAAGCTTTATTAAAAATACAAAATAAAACAGATATTGGTGAGGATACAGAGAAAAGGAAACCATTATACACTGTTGGTGAGAATGTAAATTAATGCAATCTCTATGAAAAACAGTATGGATATTTCTCAAAGAGCTAAAAATAGAACTACCATACTATCCAGCAATCCCATTACAGGGTATCTAATCAAAGGAAAAGAAATTAATATATAAAATGGTACTTGCCCTCGTATATTTATTGTAGCACTATTCACAACAGCAATGATATGAAATCCACCTAAGTGTCCATCAGCAGAGGACTGGATAAATAAAATGTGGTATATATACACAACAGAATACTATGCAGCCATAAAGAAAAATGAAATAATGTCTTTTGCAGCAACATGGATAGAACTAGAGGCCATTGTCTTAGCGAAACAACTCATACGCAGAAAGATAAATACCTCATGTTCTCACATATAAGTAGGAGCTAAATAATGTGCACACATGGAAGCAGAATGTGGAATGATGGACAATCATTGGGATTCAGAGGGGTGGGAGGGATAATGGGAGGTTGCTTGGTGGGTACAATGTGTATTGCTCTGATGATGGATGCACTGAATACTCTGACTTCATCACAATGCATTATATCAATGTAGCAAAGTTATACTTGTACCGCATGTATATATACAAACAAACAAATTTAAAAAGTAAAATTTTAAAAAGAGAACATCATCCATTAAAAAAAATTCCACCAAATGTCCTGTGCATTATCATAATGTATCTGTCTAATCATCCGGGATACCGTTCCCTATTTTGGTCTAAGTTGCTCAAAGAGTTTCTTGAGAAATTTGTGACCTCAATGGGAAAGGTCTTTCTCTATTAGTCAGTAGATGTGCATTCACCCTGTTTTACTCATGGATAAAGACTAAACTGTAGCCTCTATTGAGACCACATCCTTCCCAGCTTGAGCCTCTCTTCTTAATGATAGGGAAGAAAATGATCATCAAAATTCAGTTGGAAAAAATGTATCTTATACACTAAATCATTCCCACTGGCAATCACTAGGTAGTAGGAGTGGAATGAGATCAAGTAGAGGGAAAACTTTCACTTTTTACTTTATGCCCTGCTATTATTCGAATTTTTACATCAAAGCATATATTATTCTCTTGATTAGGAAGAAAAGAAGGAATCTATTTTGATGCACAGTTGGACTAGAAATTCTACTGTGGCCATCCCTCTAATCCAAAAACCTCCCAGCCAGATCACTATACACCTAGAAGCTCAGCTCCTGCGGGCTTTGGTAGACACCATTGCATGTTATTACCCTGCATGATTTAGTCGTCGAGGTCACTTGTCTCAAGTCACGACCTTCACTGTCTTCATTCACGGTCTGAACTGCTTGCTGCTTCATATTTTTTCTCAGTCGTTTAGATTTACACTGGATTTCAGTTAACAAGCCTGAAAAAATAAGTATAGAAATTTTACCAGTCACAGAAAGTACTGTTGAGTATGTGGTCATGAAATAGCTGATATGTACTCAGCTCAGAAGATCTCCTGTGCAATTTGGCACAGAACTAATTGTAACCTTTCTGGTATTTTAAAAAGAGAAGGCCAAGGTTTAAGAATTGACCTTGAGCAAGAAGTTTAATCTCTGTGACTCTCAGTTTCCTCTTTTGTAAAATGGGAACATCCACATCATAGAGTTTTGTGTAGATTAAGTATAATCAGATCATTTTGTAAAAATGGGCTTTATATAAAGAATTTGTGATGCAAAAGCATTGTACAAATGCAAGGTATTCAGCCTATAAAAAGGTTAGCATTAATATTATTTTCACCCATGTGTATATACTGTACCATAAGAAGTATATTCAATTTCACATTATACACACGTAAACTTGTTGAGTAAAACAAATGTTAACATTCATTACGGAAAAATTGTAAATCCTGTTAATTTTCAGAACTGTACGAATTATTGAGAATAAATTTAAAGTTGAAAATAACTCAAGGTGACTTTGAAAAGTCATTTTGAGTGATTATACAATATTATCATTGATTTACACTTAAACAGAGCTATAAAAAAATTTAGAACAGTCTTCCATATTCCCATTTAACGTCCTTCTTTTTCTCTCAATGTTAATAAAACAAAGTTCCAGGATTTTTTGTTGTTGTTGTTGTTCAGGGAATTTATTTTGTAGAATCAAGAAAGATCTGCATCTGTTACTAGACAAGTTTATGTTCATGCATAATATCATAGCTTCTCATAGGTGGATGTAAGCAAAATGTCCTTGGAGATGCATTTGGAACAAGTTCATATTTAAGTGATGAGCAACATGAACCACCCAGTGTCAAGGTGTTTCCATTGCAAGACTGGATTCCAGCAGCAGCCCCTATTGCAGGCTCTTGTTTCATGGATGCTAAGATGAGATTGTGATCAGCCACTATAAAACTTTCATCTACCCAGAGCTGGATTATTTACACAGGCCTATTTTTCTCCCTCTTGCACGCATTATTTCCCTGGGTCCATCCCAGTTGCCTGTACAGTTCGGGAACAATAGAACTGGAGTCACCTTCCAAAGGCTTTTATTTCATGTGGCATTCCCTCCCTGAATGTTATCATCCCCTTGGTGACATTTGTTTGTCTATTTGTGTTTTGAGGAGGAACAGGACATATCTCAGAATCTGAGTGGTCTGTAAAATTTGCAGAATGAAAAATTAATTATGTTATATAGTAGCATGCATTCCAGTTTTTGATGAAGATTAGAGTTCCTCACAAAGCCAGCAGTTAATACAGTGTCTCTTTATCAGATCAAAGGACAAAATTATATTAAAACTGGGAGTAGTTAATTTCCGGTGTAAACCTATACAAATTGGTTCAAAGCTGCACTAAGAGAAGACAGATTCTTAATAAAATGACTTGGTTTAAAACTCTATTTAGACAATTCAGAGGCAGTTATACCTTATAAAGTGTTCTTATTTTTTCCACAACTATAAATTTATATGCTAATTAAGGAATAAATAAGTATATTAAAATCAAATTTAGAGGACACTTTCAGACTGCCATTCTGGGTAGCTCATTAAAGCATGTTATTTGAACTGTTTGTTAATACCATCTCATTTCATGTACAATTCATTGTAACAAAGAACAACAAAAAAAAAAACAGGCATTTCTTTCAGGTGAATAAAATGCTCTTTATCTGACAGTTTGGACAATTTCAGTGGTTCATTACCCTTTTCAAGAATGTACCATTCTCATGATGTGAGTTACCTGACATCTGCCTTCTTAAGAGACTTTTAGTGGAATTTAATTGCTTGAAGTGAATACCTGTATACATACATTCAGCCAACATTCCCATCTCTTTGCATTTCCTTAGTCGGCACTCTTGGCACTTTCTTCGCATGTACATATCCATCACACAGTTGCCCCCGTTTTTACACTTGTACACAGCGTTTTTGGTAATGCTTCTCCTGAAGAAACCTGTGGAAAAAAACACTGAAAAATGTCAAAAGTCCTCTTACAACATCTCACCTTTGGATTGCAAGATGGCAGAACATTTTTTCATGAACTGCTGGACAGCGCCCAGGCAATCCGTGAGTACGCTGGTAACAGAGAGTACTTTCAATTACACTGTGCTGTCGAGAAAGCTGATGTTTTTAATTTACCTCTCAAAAATAAACACAAGTTTGAATTATAGCCTATCTTAGGAAAACCTCAGCTTGCTTTATTTTTAAGATAAATCACTTTCATACATCTTTACTGGGAGAAAGTTATGTGCCACTGAGTGCTCGGTGCTGGTGTACAAAGGCAACTAATTCAACTCCCTCCCCTCCTTGAGTTTATAGGCTGGCTGAGGACAAAGACATGCAAACAACTAAACACCTAGAATTAAGGGTTGCATGGGTTCTGAAAGGAGCCTGTGCTGGGGCAGAGCAGACACAAAGACTGGTCAGTTTGGGATGAAAAGGTCAGGATAAGAGAAGAGCATTAAGCTAAATCTTGGAAAGTGAGTTGCTGCTTAGCAGGCATTCAAGGAGAAAGTCGCATTCAAGGTTTCACTTCACTGCCTAATATGCCATCCTGGAATAATATTAAAAATGCCGACCTTGATCTAAAAGCAAACATCTCCCCTGAGAGGGTGTAGCACAGCTGCAGCCTGCAGCAGGTAAGAAGCCTAGAGTCTGGAAGGGATAGGACTGGCTTCATCTCTGCATTTCCTCTTCCCCACTCTCCTTTTTCTCCTCCATATGGCTAACCATAGCTTCTGACACTTTCAGAGTCGAGGGGCCAGTGTTGAATAGAGAGAGGACTGTGGAAAGCAAGAGAAGAAATGACAAGAATGTGCTTACTTCCCTGGTATTGTTATAAGTTGGCTTATACTTAGCAAGTTTTCAAAGTTGACTCTCTCCTTGGGTTGGGTTCTTTAGAGACTTCCTGCCATCATGGGGAGACTCTCATCTGCACTTTCTTGATGAAAGCAAATACATGTCTCTTCTAGCCCATGGCTTGCATCTTCTTTGGCATCTAGGAGTTTGGCAATTTTCTCCACACTTTTCACACTGAGGTCCTCCCTGTGGCCCTCTTGGCACAGACCTAAGATAATCCCATGATGGTTTTCTCTAAGTCCAACAATCTCTGGGGAACAGAGAAATCGCTTCCACTTGTCCATGAGCAGTCAGCCACCCTACCTCCTGCCTTTCAACTTCTCAGGTGAAAGTCAGACACCAAGCCTCATGTCCCTTGGCTTCAGGGAATATGTTCTCAAATTTCTCAAGTGATCCTGTTGAAGACCCTTTCATTAGGCCTGGGGCAGTAGGACCTCTTTAATGTACAGATTTGGGAGCAAGAGGAGACACCTTTTTCTACTTCTCACAAAGGTACTATACATTCCAGTGGTGGCCTGAGGGGCAGACATTCCCACCTCCTTTGCAATGGGGATGTAAGATGCACATAGATTACTAGTCACATGCTCCAAAATCTTTACAAGACCTCTCTATGATTTCCAACTCCTGAGCTCTTTATACCTTCAAAATAGGTGAAGTATTTAACTGGTTTTTGAATATCCACTGCAAAATTTCTGTAAGATGGGCTCACTTTGGAATATAGCATCTAGTGTCTTTTTGCCTAAAATTAAAAAGTGAGTCTTTCCTATTTTAACAAACTGTTGGAATAATATCTAACATTTATTAAGCACTTAAATAGCTATTGTTTTAACCACTTTACCTCCCACTTAGTTATTCAATCATCTTATCAATGTTAAGATGAAGGTGGTATTATATTTCCCCATATTATATAGATGAAGAAAAAGAGGTACAGAGAGGTTAAGAACTTTGGCCATGATCACATGGTTCATGAGTGGACTAGGAAATTTCAAAGCCAGGCAGTCATGCACTAAAGCTTTTAGTCTTAACCACTGTATTACAATTGCCTCCCTTGGTTCAGAAGAGAGTAGAATAACTTAATATTAATTACCTCCCATCTGAGACCTGCATTCTCTGACCTGGGAGATATCAAGATGAATAAGGCATTCCTTATCCTCAGAACTTCCAACTTAGTGGGAAGACAAAGAAGTAGATTCTCAGCATAATACAAGAGATGAATGACAAGATGGTTAAATAAGTAATACATTGTTGGGATGTAGACATGAAAGAGATTATTTCAGGGCCACACTATATGCTTGCAAAGGTTGTGCCACATTTAAGGAGTAGACATGGAGATTCGTGTATTTATTATGACAATTTTCCAGCAGAAGGCAATTAGAAACTTTTTCTAATAAGGTATATATAATATGATAACTTCCCAACAGCTACAAGTCAGGTGTCCTGAGGAAAAGGACATATGGGTTGGAAGCAATCCTGATTAATTCTGAGTAGGAGGAAACCAGGGAAGGTTCCATGAAGGAAGTAGACATTGGAGGGCAAGTAGGGTTTTTGAAACATGGACCATGAGGAAGGAAAAGCATTCTGGGAATAAGCAAGGGCAAGGTGTCATGGAAGCTGCAAGGCAGGAGGGGATAATCCTTCTTGGTGGGAGGGTAGAGTGTGGGGAGACTTAGTAGGAGATGGGTAAGGGGTTGAAGCAGGAACAGTATTGATTAAATGCCCTTGCATGCCAAGCAAAAATGTTGAGTCTTTACCATGCAGAAAGAGAGAAGCCATTGAAGGGTTTTGACAGAGGAGGGTATGACCTAACCTGTATGTTGGGAAGACTCCTTGGAGCAGGGTGAAGAAAGGTAGCCCAGAAGATTGGAGACTAGAGACAAGAGTCTATTATTACCATACACAGTTAAGAGGTGATCAATGCCTGAACTACCCTGGGAGAGAATAGAAAGGAGGAAACTGAACGTCAGGTCTTGGTAACAAACTAAATATGAAAACAGAGGCTGAAGGAAAAGTTAGAGATGTCAAGGTTAACAAAGTCATGGACTTTCTTGTGAATTTTCCAGCTGGTGTAAATTTCAATAGGAAAGATCGTAACGTTTTCCTAAATGTCAAATCCAACCAAATAAAGTCTAAAAAAAGACTTTGTGCTTCAGATCAGTGTTGATATTGAGAGTGCAAATACCAAAGCATGCATTTTAAAGGAGACTAAAAGCAGAAAGAGAATTTTTTTTTTCCTGGCACCAAACCATGACCTCAATGACCAATTCGGTCCACGTGAGTCAGTCTTCTTACTAATCTTTAGCCCCTCCCAGGAATGATCCCTTTAAAACTGTCATAGATACTGATAGACAGCTCAATAATTAACAGAATAAAACTTCTTATTCCACGATGAGTCAAAGGAACAATGCATAGAACAATTCTGTAGGTTTTCTCTTTTCCCCTACTCTGGTACTAACTGAAAAAGAAGTCATTATCATCTCAATAGCTGAATTAATTAGCTTTCACTCTGAGATGGTAACACAATATTATCATTTATCATTTAAATATGGGTACATATACTGTATTTATACTTATGCAAATCTATCCATACACATACCTCTGCCTCTGTCTTGCTCTTTCTTGTGCATATTCAACAATGCTCATATCAGAAAAGTCATTTGAAAATGAATGGAAAGGAAATTCACTGAGGAACAGAGCCTTCCTGGTAATGAAAAATGAGTAGAGGAAGAGTTGGCATCGCCATCCGGGGAATGTGTAGCACCAGGGGAAATCCCTGGGGTGCCAGGGGAATGGCTATACAATGATACTTTTATATGAGTCCCTCAATTGTGCAGAAATTCACACACCCTGCTTTTCTGCTTCTTTGTACAGGTGGAACCCATTTACTCCACCTTGTTCCCAAGGCATACACTCATACGTGCACATGCACATGTATGTGTCAGACTCCAGTGACTGATACTGGTAGCCACTGGTAGGAAGCCACCTATTACTTCAAAACCAATAAAATATTGGTTGATATTTTAAAATATTAAGAGTCTCCAAGTTTTTTAAATAGCAGCAAACACACAGAGCTGAGTAACTAGAGATCTTTATACCTAATAAGTCCTAAACAGAAACAGCTTTTAGGTCTGTCTCAGCTTACATAGCACTTATTTCGTGCCAAACCCTGTTCTAAACCCTTTGCAAATGGCAATTCGTTCCCTATTCATAGTAATCCAATGAGGCAAAGGAGACTGAGCTACACAGAGGTTAATTTGCTCTGTCCCACAGATAGTAAATTGTAAAGCTCAGATTTGAACCCTGATAGGCTTAGATCAGACTCTATTCTTTTAACCACTATAGTATACTATCCTGTCAGTAAGGAGTTTACATTCTTAAAAATTATCTTGAGGCATCCATCTCTCCAGGTCTCATATAGCATGGTAAGTGCCCAGACCGTAACAGAAGCTCGTTACCTTTACCAATTTGAGTTCATAAATGAGTACTTTGCAGTAATTGTAGAAATGTTAAGGTGAAAGGATAATTTATCCAATTATTCATGTATATTTTGTTCTTTTCCCTATATTCCTTTTTCATTTTCTTCCCACTACAAGAGGGTAATCATATTTTACGTTCACTTGCCGGAACAAAGTTGAAGTTTTCTACCTCTAAATAACTCTTGCCTATGGCGTTTGTTTTCAATTCCTTGTTGAAAGGGTTATACTGGATCATCTCAAAGATGTTGAAGGCAGAGGTCAATGCTTTTAGAATTGGGGGAAGCAAAGGCAGCTTAGCTGGAAAGAGGTTTGGAGAACTTTCCCAGAGCATGAGAATGGGATGAATCTCACAGGTTCTATGAGTATTGAATCAGCACCTAGAAAGAGCCTCCAGAGAGGCGACAGACCTTTAAATGGGATGGTTGGGATGAGGACAGGAAGACACTGAGAATCATGGCCTTGAAACCCTGGGGTAATATTTCCATGCTGAACCATGGCCAAGTTGTTCACTTTCAAGGGATCAGTTCAAAGTTAGACACGGAGTATATCAACAGGTAACAAAAGAATCCACCCTGTGTAAGACTCCTGATATTTGTGCATGATTCTAGGGGAAAGAACACCC